CACCACTTGAACACCATTGGCATTGACAAATTCGCTATTAGTCAATTGCAAAAGGCGGCCTTATTAGAACTGCTTCCATCCTGCGACGATATCTGTAATACCATCAAACATCCACATCTGCCTATCCCAGGTCCTGGGTAAGGACTCGATAGGTAGACAAAATGCCAAATCCAGTCTGAACATCTGGCTGACTGTGCGATGATCGAATATAATAATAATAAGTTGTAAGGGACCTTGGAGGTCATCTAGTCCAACCCCCTGCTCAGGCAGAAACCCTATACCATTTCAGACAAATGGCTGTCCAGTCTCTTCTTAAAAACTTCCAGTGTTGGAACATTCACTACTTCTGGAGGCAGGTTGTTCCACTGGTTAATTGTTCTAACTGTCAGGAAGTTTCTCCTTAGTTCTAGGTTGCTTCTCTCCTTGATTAGTTTCCATCCGTTGCTTCTTGTCCTGCCTTCAGGTGCCTTGGAAAATAGCTTGACTCCCTCTTCTTTATGGCAGCCCTTGAGATATTGGAATACTGCTATCATGTCCCCCTCGTCCTTCTCGTCATTAAACTAGACATACTCAATTCCATCAAACTTTCCTTATATGCTTTAGCCTCCGGTCCCCTAATCATCTTTGTTGCTCTTCCCTGTACTCTTTCTAGAGTCTCAACATCTTTTTTACATCGTGGTGACCAAAACTGGATGCAGTATTCCAAGTGTGGCCTTACCAAGGCATTGTAAAGTGGTATTAATACTTCACGTGATCTTGATCCTATCCCTCTGTTAATGCAGCCCAGCATTGTGTTGGCCTTTTTGGCAGCTGCAGCACACTGCTGGCTCATATTTAAGTGATTGTCCATTAGGACTGTGAGGTCCCTCTCACAGTTACTCCTATTGAGCAAGGTACCCCCTATACTATACCTGTACATTTGTTTTTTCTTGCCTAAATGTAGAACCTTACTTTTTTCACCATTGAATTTCATTTTATTAGATAGCGCCCAGTGTTTAAGTCTGTCCAGATCCTCCTGTATCCTAAGCCTGTCTTATGGAGTGTTGGCTATTCCTGCCAGCTTTGTGTCGTCTGCAGATTTGATGACTTCCCCATCTATCCCCTTGTCCAAATCGTTGATGAAGATGTTGAAGAGTACTGGGCCCAGAACAGAGCCCTGGGGCACCCCACTACACACTTCCCTCCATGTAGATGCAGTTCCATTGAGGACCACTCGCTGAGTACGGCCGGTCAGCCAGCTATGGATCCATCTGGTGGTGATTCTGTCTAACCCACATTTTTCTATCTTATCAAGTAGTAGGTTGTGATCTACTTTATCAAATGCCTTACTGAAATCCAAGTAAATTATATCCACAGCATTCTTCTGATCCACTAATTTTGTCACTTGGTCAAAGGTGAAACAAAAGCCTTATAAAATGTACAATCCTGAAAAAGTAATTTTAGGGGGGGGGGAAATCCAATAGTTCCTTGCTGTTTCAAAAATAATTGAGGTGTACTCCCTAAAAGGTTCACTTTCTGAGATCTGCTGCAGGACAATGATGATGATAACAATGATGATGACAATAGTTTTCTCTCTCTCTCTTTCAGGAGCTGATATACAGTATCTATTCATTTTTTCAGCAGTGATCCTCAAATGGGAACTTCAGATGGATATAGAACTGATGACGCTGAGAAATCTACTGAAATCCTGGTTATTCTCTTAAGCTTTGGGACAAAGTGAAGGCTTAGCCACTTTGGATGGGTTTTCTGGTTTTATGTTGCTTTGGGGGCACTTATTATTTATTTTGTTTTTGGAAGGATTTAAAAAAAAATAATTAAACTGAAATAAATTGTAAGCCATTCAGAGTCATTGGGAGTTGGACAGGCTATACGTCGATCTATCATTATCATTCCTTTTCATACTAACTTTCTGGGAAAGAAATGATCACCACATGCTCATCTTATAGTAAGAATCTGTCTCCCATTCCTGTCAGATTTTGGTCTGTTTGGAAGAGAATAAGTATTAATTCAACTTAAGGGCACTGATTTTGGAACTGAAGCTGGGATACATTAAATAACAAAATCAATATGGATAATCTGAAAACTGTAGAAAAAAATAAGAATTAATGGGGAAGTTATCAAAGACACAATTAATTGGTATGTTTTCAGTGAAATTTAGATTTCAGTTATATTTTACATATTTATGTAAATATGCATATATTAATGAATACATTTTGATGCTACATGTGTCCCTGAGGTTTCCTACCTTACAATGAAGTGTTTTGAAAAATACAAGAAAAAAGAAACAATTCTCTTGTATAATTTGGACTTTTCACTGATTACAGAATTAAAAAAATAAAAAAAAGATTCAATAAAATATTTTTAGCTTTGCTGAATCAAAACAAGTGGCCATTTGAGCAGAAATCTTTCTGGCCCAAATAGAAAGTAACTCACTCAACTATATTAGAGAGAAGCAACTACTTAAACATTAAGAAAAAAAATCCTGGTAGCAAAGGAGCTCCTACATCTCTTGTAGTTGTAAAGCTATTAAGCTTTCACTTTAGATCAGAATGTAGGGTGGCCAGGACAGGCAATAGAGACAAATTGGCAGCAAAAAGTAATTCTATAAAAATACCTACGCATGGCTAAGAATGATAGAGAATCATTAGTACTCTTTGCCAATGAGTCACAAAAGTGAAGAAAATTTGAAAACTACATTAGATTTTTTTTTAAAAAAAGAAGGGGAGCTTATTAAAATTGAAGATATTCATGGTATTTGTCATCAACACAAGGCTATATAAAATGCACAGCCATTTTAAAGCACATTTTTAATTTCAAATAGTTTCTCCACCTGCTTCTCTTTTCCTAAATGCAGTTTCTGAACCCTTCCAGCGGGAGGACCTTGGCTCTCAAGATTTTGTTTTTTTAAAAAAATCACCAGAAATAATAAGACAGCTCTTAAGGATACAGAGTACTTTCCACTGATGGAGCTGCTTCCTCCAACTCTCTCCAATCCTTCGCATAGTCTTAAAAAAATCTTCAGAGGCTTAAAAGGATGCTTTAAAATAGATTACAAGAAGAAATGAAAGGAAAGTTCTGGTGTGCTAGGTGAACATCGATATGGCTCCCCACCTTGTTTAAGTTCTATCAAGCTTGCAAGTTATCCCAGGCCTGGGTAGGATGACCAGAGTCCCCTCTTGGAAGGGTTTTTGTATCAGGCAATCAGATCCCCATCTTATTTTGTTTTGTATAACATTATTATTGCATATTACAGTGATGGCGAACCTTTTAAGACAGAGTGCCCAAACTGCAACCCAAAACCCACTTAAACATCATCGAGTGCCGGGTGGGTGTGGCCCATTGGGTTGGGCATGGCTGCGGTGGTAACGGCCAACTGGGTGGGACTAAAAAGTTCAATCAATCAATTCCAATTTTACAAGATCTTTTTTTTTCCCGTGAGAAGTTGAAATTGACTGATTGAACCTTTTTTTTTGCACACGGCGGCAGAGGCCTAAAGCGAAAAGGTTTTACAAAACCCAGCTGAAGGCCTAGGACTTGGGTGACGGTGCGCGTGCCCACAGAGAGGGCTCTGAGTGCCGCCTCTGGCACTGTGCCATAGGTTCACCACCACCACCATATTGTGAACTGCCCAGAGTTGGTTTAAACTAAAATAAATAAAATGTGAAAACATAATTTACATATTTATTGCCAATAAAATGCCTAGAGATGCTAATTCCTGTATCTAAGTTAGTGACTATAAGATTTCCTGGATAATATTAAAATATAAGTTTTCAAAGCAAGCTTTATAGCAAAGTTTCTATAGCAAAACTCCTGTAGTGAAAATTACCTCTTCAATTTAATGAAGCAATAGAAACAAAAACCAATTACCATTTTATAGATTCTTCAAATCCCTGGAGAGCAGAAACTATTATCTATCATCCCAGATTGCAGGATGTGGACTAAGGGTCAAGCTGCAAGGAGGCAGATTCCAGTTACAACTTAATAAAACTTCCTAATGACAAATCAACATTGATTGTAGAATCAATTACACATACTCTTCACAGTATATGTTCAAGCTATACCTGGACAGACATTTGTTGGGGATGCTACAATTTGAACACCAGCATTGAGGACTTCATGGTACGCACCTGAAAGACCAGTCCCCTTTCAGCTGTGATTCTGCAATACAGCTTAACTATGCAACAAGGATTCTTGAAAAGTGCAGGATCTTTCCATCAAGATGTCCCTGCATTCACATCTACCAATCTTCACAAAACATTTTTATGGTCTAATATTATGTACATTTTTTATAATTTCTGCTTGAGAAATAAATTTCAAAATAGCAATTTCCAAAGAATCCACATTTAAAAGATACAGCTTTAAGGATGCTCAGTGGCATCATTTCAATTTGTAAACACCTATCAAAAATAACAGATAACTAAATTTTAATACACTGTTTAACTAACAACAATAGCTATGAAATTCACAAATTTCTGATCAATATAATACTATACAATACATATAACTCTCTTGGAAAAAAGTTGTGTTTTTAGTATAGTGCAATACACAGTCTGATTTTGAATCTGAAGCAGACATCTAGAAAGTGCATAAACCAACTTATACAAAATTATCTACGAAGATAGCTTTGGTAACAAAAACAACAAAATAAACTGGCAACAACAACAATTATCACTATCCAAAAGACAAGCAATGATATATTTAGTGAAAAAGTGCACTCAGGAATGGGGGTGGTTTTACTAAAATTTACAAGCTGCTCAAAACCCCTAAGGCTTTTTCAGGCATTACTTTTACTGAAAATGTTAGCTTTATTATGAGATGGAGGTATTTGAAAAGGTAATTGATAATTTTACTGCTGCAGAAAATAACTTACATTAGTAAAACAACTATGACTACCATCTTAAGAAATAGCGTGGGCATATAATGTATCGGATAAATGAAAATAAAATATGGCATTATCAAAGGGGAAAAAAAGCAGTAACTGGATGGGAAAAAACATTCACCTGCTTTTGTTCTTCTCCTAAACTATCCCACATTGATGCAACGATTTTTGACACGTCCCCAAAGGTAGCATTGGGATTTTGTCCTTTGATAGCTGCTTGTGTATCTCTGAAGAAGAGGGCATAAGCAGACACTGGCTTCTGGGGTTCATTAGGATCCTTCTTTTTCTTCTTCTTTTGGTTTTTGGGTTTCTTGCCCAGATCTGTCAAAGGTCTCTTCTCTCCAGTAGCCTACCAAGAATCAAGAAAAATGTTTTACTTTTTTCCCCCTGCAGTCACTCTTATTTTAGAAGACACATTGCATCTGATTTTGAAGTGGGGAGTAAAAACCCACACCATAACTAGGAGTAGTTTAAGAATATACATTCCAGGTAACTTTTTTAACTTTGTTTCCAAAATACAATGCAAATATACAATTTCTTTTACAGATGTTCTCTTCAGCACCCTTTACGTTTGATAACTTATTGTCCCAGCACTGGTATTAATCTATGTAATTACTCCAAAACAATTATATATGCCACACATTTTTGTTGCTATCTTAAGGAAAAGTTCATTCACATACCGTATATGCCGGCGTACAAGGCGACCCGGCGTATAAGATGTCCCCCATCTTTGTCGCCGAGTCGTATTCCTAGAATGTCGTCTTATACGCCGGAAACTACCAGTATTTCTGGCGTATAAGACGACTCGGCGTATAAGACGACCCCCGTCTTTGGCACCGATTTTAATGCTTGCGGAAGTTGCCTTATACGTCGGCATTTACGGTACGTGCACATTACTTGATTTGTCATTATTGGCTATTAAAATATCTGATGACTTTCCCATGAATATATGATACATAGATAGTCATTAGTTAATGAAAGTAACTGGGATTGAAATTTCCATCACTAAGCAAAGGGGTTATAAAGTGTGATGTCACATGATTACATCGTATAGCAATGGTAATCCCAACTATCTCTGTTACCATTGTTAATTGAATACTACTGGTCATTAGGGGAGGATTTACTCCAATCCAAACCATTCCCAGCTTGATCCCTCCCAGCCCTGAACCTTGGTAAGGTAAGGGATTACCTCCTCTTGAACTTCCCCTCTGTGTATCTCTTTCCATCACTCTCCTTTTGGCTGGTCATCTACCTGAAGTTGCCAGCTGCCCCCACTACCCAGCCCACTGGGATTCTTTTGCTAATGTGTGAAAGACTGCCCCAACTAAAAGGGTCCTTCTTTCACACTGGCATAGCTGGGCCCTTCCTTCATGCACCAGGCTTCTTTTGCTGGTACATGAAAGAAGGTCTTGGCTACATTGGCAGAAAAGAAGGATCCGGTCAGAAAGGTCCTTTCATGTCGGCATAATTAGGTCTTTTTTCATGAAACAAGATCCTAGTTAGGGCACAAAGAGAATCTCTGGTTTATTTATTTATTTATTTATTTATGAGACTTATATACCGCTTTAAGTGCAAGCACTCTCTAAGCGGTGTACACCAGTAAGCAATGTATATATATATTTACATTGCCCCCAACAATCTGGGTCCTCATTTTACCTACCCCGGAAGGATGGAAGGCTGAGTCAACCTTAGCATGCAAATGGAGGCCCTAGCTGGCCCAGGAACAGAGACCCTAAGTGAGGTGTTAGAGAAGCCCCAACTGCACTGGTGCAAAAAAGATGATACAAAATACACTAGTGATGCGTGGTGAGGCCTTCAAAAGTATTGTGAGAATGGAACATATGTACTATTTGGAGAATGCTCTTAAGTAGCTTTGGAAAGAAGACCCGGCATAGCCAGAAGCTGCCTTGCATAGGTCCAGGCCGGTCAAGAAGGTGCTATGGCTATTGGCATGGCTGCTGACGACACAGAGCTTGAGGCAGCATTCTTTGACAGCAGCATAGTGGCATGAGGTCCAGAGGTAGTGGCAGCCAGCTAAGAGTGGGCCTCTACTTCAACAAAGCTGCTGCCCCTAAGAAATCGAAACAGGCAAATATGGGGGGGGGGATAGGTGGGTGACGGTTTTAAAATGCCTCTATAATTGTACATGTGGGTGGGCTGTCATGTGTGTGTGTATGCTGCAACAACCCTAACTTGGATACCATTTGTTTAGCATCACCATAACTTCAAATGGTGATGAATGGTCATTAACTGAGAACTACTTGTATATTTTTTCATATGTATACATGAAAAAGGAACAAACATTTATTTGAATGGAAAACTTGGCTAATTTGAATGTTTATGATGAAAGACTTAGAGACCTGGCAGTGGATAAAAGGATGATGAGTCTGAATGAGTCACTTTTTGTTGAGAGATTATGTTGGGAAAAATGGACGTAGAAGGAAAGGAAAGAAGTAAAAGAAAGTAGAACAAGTACTGGAAAATAATGTATAAAGCTTGTATGAAAAAGTAGTAGAAAACAGATTAATCTTCCAACAGAATGAAACAAAAGTGACATAAAGAGATACAGAAACTATTTAGAACTGGGATGTATTAAAGTTGCCAACTTTGATAACGACTGCATTAGAGGGAGGAAATTGAGATCAAGTATCCTTTTCTCTCCCAATACAAACTCCAAATCATTTCTTTTCCCCTCCATATTCATTCCAGGGGAAAATGAGAGTTCTTCTTTATTTCATCCCCTTGAGGTAACTACTGAAGGAAGGATTTGCAACATTTTCAGGAAACACAAAGTAATCCCTATCCTAGGCTCTACGCCAGGGCATGCCTGCCGCCAGTCACTACTATTTCTGACTTACTGAATCAATTGACTGTGCATATGGCAACCATAATCATCATCATCATCATTGTTATTATTTGTATTGCTACAGAAAAATAATGTTCAACTTTAACACTTTCGTTTTCGTTTTCCTCTCAGTTTAAATGCCCACAATATCCACATACTTAAGTGCTTTATGAACCACTTACAGAGTTCAGAAAGCTATAGAGTTAATCTCATGTAACAAGATGAAGTTCTGGTTTCTATTTTACTTAGCAAATAAATTAATGAAGGCAAGAATACTTGGAATTTCTTTGCTTACATGGTGCCAAAGTCTTAGAACATGTTCTAAGAATCCATAGCTAATTATGGAACATATGAAGCACAATGATTATGAAAATCATTATATATAGATATATAAACACACCATTTATAGTCAATACTCTAATCCAAGGGAAGAGGGAACCTACAGTAATCATATTGGTTACTTTCACTGCTATTATCTGGAAAAAAAAAACAGATGATAGCCCTTTATTACAATGACCAGATGCATAAGAACACAAACATCTAGTTTTGTGACTTAGAAATAGCGGTACTGAACTGGAAATGTGAAAGAAATAAAATGTTATCTAGGAACGTGTATTCATCTTAAATGATTACAATACTTCATGCAAAGTGGTACCCATATTTTTACTGTGTCTTTGCCCAAACTGCAATAGGTGGCTATGAATGAGCAAGGTTATTATTTGTGCACTTTGTTTTTCTTACATCATTCACAGGAAGGGAAAAAGTTCTATTCACATATGGATTTTTGACTCTGCAGTATTTATCCTGGAGTAATTATCTATTAGTTAGGTTTATATCCTTCCTTTCTTCCCAGAAATCAAGGTGGTACACAAAATACCAACTTCTTCAGTTTCCTGCATCCAGAGGTTGTGAATGCTCCAACACTGGAGGTTTTAAAGAAGAGACTGGACAGTCATTTGTCTGAAATGGTATAGGGTTTCTTGCCTGAGCAGGGGGTTAGACTAGAAGACCTCCAAGTCCCTTCCAACTATTATTATTATTATTATTATTATTATTATTATTATTATTATTATTATTATTATTATTATCAATCATCGCACAGTCAGCCAGATGTTCAGACTGGATTTGGCATTTTGTCTACCTATCGAGTCCTTACCCAGGACCTGGGATAGGCAGATGTGGATGTTTGATGGTATTACAGATATCGTCGCAGGATGGAAGCAGTTCCTAGTAAGGCCGCCTTTTGCAATTGACTAATAGCGAATTTGTCAATGCCAATGGTGTTCAAGTGGTGCTCCAGTTGTTTTGGGATTGCACCCAAGGAGCCTATGACTATTGGTACTACCCTTGCTTGCTTTTGCCACAGTCTTTCTATTTCTATTTGTAGGTCTTTGTATTTTGTTATCTTCTCCAGTTCTTTCTCTTCTATTCTGCTGTCTCCAGGCACTGCCACGTCCACTATCCAGACTTTTTTGTCTTTCTTATCGACAATTGTTAAGTCTGGGGTGTTATGTTGCAGGTGCTTGTCTGTTTGAATTCTGAAGTCCCAGAGCAGTTTAATTTTATCATTTTCTATGACTTTCTCTATTTTATGATCCCACCAGTTTTTGCTTACAGGCAAATGATATTTTTTGCAGATCTTCCAATGCACCATTGTTGCTACTTTGTCATGCCGCTGCTTGTAATCAGTCTGTGCAATCTTCTTGCAACAGCTTACCAAGTGGTCCACTGTTTCTTCAGCTTCTTTGCATAGGCGGCACTTACTGTCTGTTGCTGTCTTCTCAATTTTGACTTTGTATGCATTTGTCCTTAAGGCTTGGTCTTGTGCAGCCAGAATTAGTCCCTCGGTCTCTTTCTTCAATTTTCCTGCTCTTAGCCATTGCCAGGTTTTATTATTATCTGCTTTCCCAGCTATTTTTTTCATGTATTGGCCATGTAGTGCTTTGTCTTCCCATGCCTCTATTCTGTTCTTCATTTGGTCTTTCTTGTAGGCTAGTTTGGTCTCTCCAGTAGTTAGTAAGGCTTCCTGATATACTAATTTCAGTGCATCTTCATCATTGTTCTTCAGATATTCTTCCAAAGCCATTTTTTCTTCTTCAACCATCTGATGTACTTGTAGCATTCCACGCCCACCTATTTGCCTTGGTAGATAAAGTCTATCAATGTCACTGCGTGGATGAAGGGCATGATTCATTGTCATTATTTTTCTGGTCTGCCTATCCATTGCTTTTAGTTCTGCTTGAGTCCAGTCCACTATTCCAGCTGTGTACCTAATGACTGGGATTGCCCAGGTGTTGATTGCCTTTATGGTATTTCCTCCATTGAGTTTGGATTTTAAGATCTTCTTCACTCTCTTGATGTATTCACCTCTAATCTTTTTCTTGACTTCAGTGTGCTTGATGTTGTCAGCTTGAAGGATACCCAAGTATTTGTAGTACTCTTCCTCATCCAGACTCTTAATGTTATTTTCGTGGGGCATCTTGATTCCTTCAGTTTTCACTATT